CCCCGCATTCGAAGCTCCGCTAGTCTGAAAGCCCTCGGAACTCTTCCGAGCGCCAATCACCCCCGTCTGGGCAAAGGGGTTTGTTCTACGACGGCGAGGACGCGGTTCTACTCCAAATTCGGGAGGTCCCGTGTTCAGATCTCGACCCGGAAACGGGCTATTTTGAAAAGAGGGTTTCGTGGTTTTCTCCAGTCACTCCAGAAACTTTACTTCTTAACGGCTTCCGTGCGCACTTCTCACACGTAACAGCAAAAACAAAATGGCGTCCGTCAGGTACCTCGCAGGTCTGTGATCGTTTCAGATGAAGGAGAAGAGCAAGAACGCGGCCCGCAGTCGACGGGAGAAGGAGAACGCCGAGTTCCTGGAGCTCGCGAAGCTGCTGCCCCTGCCGAGCGCCATCACCAGTCAGCTGGACAAGGCGAGCATCATCCGCCTCACGACGAGCTACCTCAAGATGAGGCACGTCTTCCCTGACGGTGAGTCCCTCGTCTTCCGCGACTACGGCGGTCGGAGGACGTTCCGCCTCCATTTTAAGGTCGCGGTCCGACACCTGCAATGCCTCGGGTCCCCGGGCAACGCTGGGTGGGGCGGGGGGGGGCACATGCCCCCTTCCCACCGGCGATGTTTGTTTTGGCGTCAGGACACGCGTCCTGCATTAGCACAAGTGTTTGCTGCAAACACGAGTGACCAGAGAGACGCTTCGTCGTCGCCGAGGGTCTCCCGACTCCTCGCACCTGTTCACGCGCTGCGTTGCCATGGCAATGAGACTTGAGGATTCCTGGAGATTTCTCCGATTTATGGACACGACCGTTGTTATTTTTTTTTGGGGGGGGGGGGTTGGAAGGAAGCGGTCGTGGCCCACTCGAATACAGCTTTCCCTCTGTGCCCGCAAGTGTCTCTCTCTCTCTCTCGCCGTGCGCGAGAGAGTCCTCAGATGTTTACAGCGACCTCAAAACATTTCCCACTTCTTTGCATTGTGACAGTCGATGCTCATTGATTTTCTAGGGAGCGCCGCTTCCTTCCAAATCCTTATCTGCTCCGCATCAGGCCGCGC